TCTACTTGCGCGATGGTGTAGTAGCTGAGCAGCGCGGCGGCGATGCTCGAGGCCGTCGCCGTGTCCTGGTCTGCGGCTGAAGCCGCCGCGCAGCGCACCCGCGATGGCGGCCTGCGTCTGCGTGTCCTGCGCGCTTGCCGTGCGGTAATCTCCCAACAGCGCGTCTACCTGCACCGAGGTGTAGTAGGCAAGCAGTGCGCCTGTGATGGCGCTGGTCGTCTCCGCGTCCTGCGCTGCCCCTGTGCGGTAGTCTCCCAACAGCGCGTCTACCTGCGCCGAGGTGTAGTAGGCCAGCAGGGCAGCTGTTATAGCGGCGTCAGTGCCCGCCGTGGAGTAGCAGTCTGCCGTGATGCTCAGCGTGTCGTCGCCGTTGGCCAGCGCAGCAGAGAGAGGGGCCACGAAGTGCAGGTTGCGAACGACGCTGCTTCCGCGAAGGAGCTCCCAAGTCGTGAAGCCCGCCCAGGCCGGCGCGTTAACAACTCCGCTGCCGGAAAGCTGCAGGGCGGCGAGCTCCGCGAGGATTGTGTCGAGGGCGCTCTGGAGCGTGGTCTCGCTGGCTGAGAGCGCGGCGTTCGTGGCGTACGAGGCCAGCAGCGTCGCGTCGGCCTTGGCCCCCTGGAGCGCCGTGATGCTGGCGTCCCGGCTAGCAAGCTGCGCTGCGACGAAGGCCTCGGTGGCGAGACCCAGCAGGGCATCTGCTATCTTGGTGTCTACCTCCAGCGGCGTGTCCAAGCCGTCCACCGTGGAGCAAGGCGGCGCCGCCTTGCCTGCGTCCGCCTTGTCGGCGAGTGGCGGGCGTCCAGGGCTGCCGTGGGTGATGCGTCCAAGAGGGCAAGTCGCTATCCTTAGGAGTTTACTCGCGCGATGGCTGTCCACGGCCGATCGCGGCGGCGTGTGAGCTGCGTGGCGCCGCGTCGCCTTGAGGCCTGTCGTGTTGAAGGCAAGTTCCTGAGGAAAAGCCGGAGCCGAGCCGCCGCCACGCACAGGCTGGTCCGGGCCCGACGAGGCCCAAGAGGTCTTCGCCTACTTCAGTGTGGATGGCTTCTCTTGAGGCCGTAGTTGGCGGCCACCGTGGCCAGCGTGGCGTTGCTGGCCGAGGCGATGGAGCCGTTCATGGCCGCCGTGGTGCTGTAGTTGGACAGCTTCAGGTCCACGCTGTCCGGGGTGCTCTTCGTCGCCACCACGCCCTCCAGCACGTCGAAGGCCGACTGGTCTGCCTTGTTGGAGAGGCCCGTGGTCAGCGAGCTCTGCAGCGCGGCGATGCCGCTTCCGTGCGCGGCCACCTGCCCGTCCGTGGTGGCCAGGGCCGCAGCCGTGGCCAGGGGCGCAATTGCCGGCGCCAGCGCGCTGCTGTCCAGCTTTGAGGCCAGCTCGGCGGTGACTCGGTCGTCCAGGGACTGGATGGCAGCGGCGTTGTTGCCGGAGGCTGCCGTGTTCACCGCCAGGTCAGTTACTTGAGCGTAGGGAGTCAGAGTGAGGGCCAGCTGTCCTGCTGTGACGTGCGTGCCGTCAGTCACCTCTCCGTTGTCCAGGACCTCCGGGATGTTGCCCGTGACAGGTCCTTCAAACATGTTTTCTTAGGAGTAGTCGTTACACGAATTCGTAACAATGGGGTGTTGTACTTTTGCAACGCGCCCTCACTTGAGTCGCTATGGGTCATTCGGGGCCTTCGTGGCGCAGGGTGGTATGATTAATCTCGCAACAGCCCCTACCAGTACGCGAAGTGTGGAGTGACGCAGTGTCCGATGGCGTCGGACACTGGGCATGAAGCGAGACCTCTGATGAATTGACCGATGGCGTCGGTCAAAACGCTTGGGACACCTCGGCCTCATGACGAGACCGGCAAAAGACACTTGTCTCAGCGGCTATGACCTGCGGGGCATTCATGAGCCAACCTTGTCCATTCATGAACCAACCTTGCCCATTCATGAACCAACCTTGCCCTTTCATGAGTCATTGATGAATCACCCGGTTCCATTATTGACTCAAACTTGCCAAGAACCGAGTCCTCTCGGGAACTGGGGCGCTTTTGCGCACTTTTCGGCCCCAAAGAGAGCGGTGACGAAGCGGTGACATCGCGGTGAGAGCGTTTTTGGGCCAAAAAGCGCCGTTTTGGGACGGTAACAAGAGCCGATGGTGAGATGGCTTAGGCGTTGGTCTCCGGAGCGACGTTTGGAGGTTCGATTCCTCCCCGGTACCTCGGCGGGCTGACGTGTTAGAGACCGGTGACATCGGCGGTGACAAGTTCAGCGGGCTGCCGTGTTATGTGGGAGAACCTCGGCAGGCTGACGTGTTATGTGGGAGAACCTCGGCAGGCTGTCGTGTTAGACACCGTGGTGTGCCTCGGCAGGCTGACGTGTTAGAGACCGGTGACATCGGCGGTGACAAGCTCAGAGTACTCTCAGCGCTGGAATTCGCAGGCTTTTCGGGGCAGAAAACGGAATTCGGAGCACATCAAACGCCTGGAGCCGGTTTTCGGCGGAATTTGGAGCACATTTTGACGCCGGACACGAAAAACGCACTTTTCGGAGTTCGCCGTTTTCAGCGCTTTTTGCTCCAAAAACGGAGCGGTGACGAAGCGGTGACATCGCTGGTGACAAGTTCAGCGGGTTGGAAATTTGGCTGTTTTGGAGCGTTTTGGGACCAAAAATCCCAAATAATTAGGTTACTATAGGCAGCCTTCCTACTACTCTTGCCTTTTTAAATTTCGGGGGGTCAACGTGCCTCCTGTTCCAGGCGCGCCAGTGCCCTGGAAGCAGTGCTACGGGTCAACGTGCCTCCTGTTCCCGGCGCACCAGTGCCCTGGAAGCAGCTTTCAGCAATCCCGGTAAAAAGAACTGCGGCCGCTTCGGACTTGCTTGTTCTTTTGGGGTTTATGTTTGGGTTCAAGCTAGGAGCAGTGCAACATGCCTCAACAAGACAGCGTAGCTTTCCAAGACAGTGTGTCTTTTCCGTTCTTGTCCACGCCCCTGGTCCAAGGGCTGCCGCCTGCGTGCCTTTGTTTACAAGCAAGCTTAAACAATGTGGACTCCCAGTCATTGACCGTCCAGGCGTGGACCACCTGCAACGCAGGGATCTCTTGCACAGGGCGTCAAGGCCTGCTCACCAAGGGTGTATTAACCCTCCTCTTCTCCGCATCCTCCTGCTGACGACCACCTTGGCCAGAACTTGGTGCAAACCTCCGTGGACCACCAGGCAGGCCGTTGAGACGCAAGAAGCTGGACAGGCCTCCAAGACTAATTACTTGGGAGAGCTGCTCCATGCGGACACCGCACCATCCATTTGCTTGCTCAGCCTGGTTCACGAAGGAATGAAACCCGGGCAGACCTTGAAATCGGTGCCCTGGCAATTCCGCCTTTCGGCTCGTCAGTATCAGGAACGCATGGAAGCCAAGCAGCAAAAGCTGTCAGATCCGAACTGCAGCTCCTGAGCCTTCCTTCTTTGACGACACCCCCGAGATAAACGTGGAGAACCACGCACTATCCCCGGGTTGGCTCATGCGCATTCAAACTGTGTTTCGTAATGCACTCGCGCTGTGCGGGCGCACCTGTCGAATCTCAAAGCCTTCGATAAGAAGATAGCAGACCTCTCCCGCAGAGGCACCATGGCGCCCAGCACATCTGACTGCAGCCGCCGGGCATGTGTGACATATGGCTTGCCAGCCGTCCGGCTTCAGAAAGCCAGTATGGCTTGCGACAGCACCGTGCGCTCGCCTTCTGCATTTCGCACTGCGGGGCTTTTCCGCCGCCAGAATACCTGGCTGCGACGGCCGAGTTTGCGCACAAACTCCAAGCATCAGAAAATGAACTGATGAAAGTCGCTGCATTGAGGGTTCAGCAATGCCCTCGCATTGTCTTCACTGTGCTTCGTCCCGCCGCAGGTGCAACCCCGCTGAAGAGGGGGACTTTTGCACCTGGGCCTTAATCGCCTGTTACTGAAGGAGGGGAACATCTCGCCCCTTGTCCTAGGTGCACCGCAGTGCCCTAGGAAAGTGCCACCTTCCCAAGCAACCCGGTAAAAAGGTGTGCGCCTTGCTGTCGGCTTTTGGGTTCAGGGTTCTTTGTGGTTTGAGGCTAGGAGCAGTGCGCGGGACCTTTAACGCTAAGGGTTTTCTTTTCCCTTGTGTTTATAGGTCGGGGGTGAATCTCCTACGCCGCCGCCATTTGGTGCTCCTAGCCCTCAAACGCACGTTTAGGACTCGCAGTCCTGGTTTCGTTTTGAAACCCACCCACCCGACCCTTCTAAGCCCTAAGCTCGCTTAGGCCTTCCGGACAGCCCTCCCCGCTGGGAGCCCTCCGGACATGAACTGGGAGCGCACTCTCAGCTTCATACCAGGGCCCGGACCCGCGGTCTGGCCCTGTGGGCGTCTCTGGACCCGCAGGTCCGTTGACGCGGGCGTGGGCACGCTTGCCACGCCCCCCGTCTGGCATTTTTAATGCAAGGACACGCTTGTCTTGCAACCTTGTTTTCCACAAGGGGGGGGAACATCTCGCCCCTTGTCCTAGGTGCACCGCAGTGCCCTAGGAAAGTGCCACCTTCCCAAGCAACCCGGTAAAAAGGTGTGCGCTTTGCTGTCGGCTTTTGGGTTCAGGGTTCTTTGTGGTTTGAGGCTAGGAGCAGTGCGCGGGACCTTTAACGAATATGGACATTTTTTTTTTATAATGCTCGAGTTTGGGTGTCAATTGACACAACTTGTTGGACAATTCCAAAGATGCGTTGTAAATTACCCGCACTATTGATTGTGCAAGTTTTTTGATGGTTCCTATCGGCTTATAATGTGCCTTGGAGTTCTTTTGGATGTGTACGGTTGTGATTCCGAATTCGCCGCGTTCGTGGATGTAGAGGCATGAGGTTGTAGCGCAATCAAACACAATGTAGTTGTTGATAGCCGACGCGGATGATGTGGTAGGCACGAACAGTTTTGCCAAAATTGCTTGATACGCCCTCTTTAACTGACCTCTGAAAGCATGCAGTTCTTACCAGCCTCGCATGGCATGTCACTCTGGGCCCGAGCATTCGCGCACTCGCGCACAGCAGCCATCCCATCATGGCGCAGCCGCAACTCATCGCCCCAGAGCAGACCCACGGGCAATCCCGCTGCGCAAGGCAGGTGGTTTTTTTAAACCCAATCAGTTTCTCAAGAACGTGGACCCCCTTTTGGTATTTAAATGGGCACCGAAAAGAAACTGTTCCAGTTTCAAACCATACCTTCAAATGTGTGTGGGCTTTTTCCGCAGTAGCCTACTTGGGGTGGCTTAAACCAAAGGGAATGACACAATTTCGCGGATATAGTTTGAAAACCGCTCGGGTATCTTCAAAGGGCGGCACACACGGGCCTGATTTTTTGCGGCTGTGCCCTATTTCAGGTACCTCTTAATTGGCGGTGTACCGGTTAGGGGTTAGGTGGTTCGGGACACAAGACACACAGACAGACAGCCAATTCAACTCATGATGGTTTAGCCATGGTCTCTAGTTGGCCCACTCTTCCATTCGCCTCGCATGAGCAGAGGCTGCGACAAAGTTTCTGAATTCGGGGGTAAACCGAGGGATTTGGACCATGATGTCGGCCATTCACGCATGGATCCAATTCTTATTTCAGGTTCAGGAACTTTGGCAAGAAATGCAGAGTCATGGATGTACAGAGCCCCTGAACTTGGGGTAAGGATGGTCATCAACCTCTAACTAGGGTTGTAGACCGCCAATGTAAAAGAGGAGTTTTGACCTTGGCTCAGCTCAAATGGTGATTCTTCCGGCCAATTGGCCTGGCGCCCCAGCATCTTTCTTCGCTTTTCCTTTTCGGAGAAGGGGGAACACAGCGAATGGTTTGCCCTTTGAGTTCGGCTATTCGAGGTAGAAACGCTCAGGGAATCCTATGAGCCGTCGCTTTTCGGGGAAACGCGCACCCGGTTTTTGAAAACTGCTAGTCTGTTGAGTCACTTCCAAGCGGTGCGCGGTGCGGCGTGTTTGGGGGTGGTGTGTTTCGGGTGTCCCCAGCTGACTTTGCGAGTTTCCTTCGAGTGGGGAGGGTTCTCAACATGGCAATTCGAGCCCTTTTTGGGTGGAGTTATATACAGGGAGTCCGCCGGGTCACACCAAGAAACGTTAAATTTTTGGTGTTGCTTGAGGTGCTCCCCCTGAAACTCGCATGCGAGCCAACTGCTCAAACCGTAGGTGTGATCCCTGCTTCAATGCGCCCATCTCCTGCTCTCTGGGCGTCGCCCTGGTGCTCGGCGGCGCCGCCCTCTTCCTGGCGACACGGCAGCCAACAAGAAAGAGGGGCATCAGTGCCTCCATTTGCTGAAATCTTGGCGGGGTTGTTTCGTGGGTTGGAGTTTTTGTTTTTTTTTGGTGTCAGGTTTTTTGATGACTTCCTTGCTTGAACAACATCCCAAACAGGGCGTTTTATCTTGCTTGGGTTTGCTTGTGGCCTTGCTCGAAGCGCCGATCCAAAGAGCAGTCCGCTCCCAATTTGAGTTGCGATCTCCCCCCCGCCCAAAAACACAGGTTTTGAGGCCCCAAAACGCACAGACCTTACCGACAAAAAGTGGAAGTCCTCACCTGCTCGTTTTGCCTCAGTCAAAAACGGCGATAGTCCTTTACATACACAAAAGTTGCCCTGCTCCATTTTTTCTTTTGTTGGGGGGGTGCCTAGTTTCCTTTAACTCTTGGACAGGTTTGACGGCGGGCAGCTTGCTGGTTTACTTTTTGAAAGCATGGCACACCATCAACTTTAAGTGGTTGGTGCGATGTTGGTGCCCAGAAGGTTTCCCTTTCCATTTTTTTAGGCGACACCTCGGTCGACACGTACCATGTTTGGGTGTGGCTTGACAAGCTCAGCGGATTTTGGTTGCTCCCTACGCAGCTTCCAGATGGATGAGGCTTAGGGAGCGCCAGATTGCAGACCCCAAAAACTGAGATACATCCGCCACAAACATGGACGACATCGGCCCGATGTTTTTGAACTGGTGTTCTGGTTGCGCAGAAACCAAAGTGCAACATGGAGGTTGACAGGTCTACAGTTTGAGGTGTTGGGAAATTGGGTTGCCACTAGTCGTTTTAGAAGGGTTGTCCCTTCTCGAGCCCCGACCGCCATGGGCGATATACGCCTTTGTAGTTCTTTACATGCTAGGTGTTGAGTGCAAATGAGGCCTTTGACATTCAGCTCCTTCTCAAATCGAGAACCAAAGCATCAGTCAGCGCAAGCGCTCACTTAAAGGGCACTTAAGGAACCAAACCATCAACTCAGCAAATTAACATGTGCATTCTCCAAGAAGAGATTCCGTTCCGGGTGTGTATTTTTGGTTTGTACCTCCTTTTGGTTGGTCTTACAGGTAAACCAAAAGGACAACCATGAT